CGAACCATTCTTGCAGCTTTTCCATTCTCTATATGTATATCCTTTAACTGTGAGCTTGAGTTGGAAAAGGAATCTATTCGTAAGAGTTGAGCTAAGAAAGGATGCTGCAGATGTTCGTAGACAACCTTTAGAGGTAAAATTGTTGAGTGATACTTTGCACTATGATTTTTAAACTTGTCTTATTGTTCTTTCTGTGTTACTGATATGACTAGGCAATGTATCCAAGGGAACCTGGTTTATCACTTCAGAAGTGGGCTCACACGCAAGTTGCTGTTGGTGCTCGGGTGGCCTGCTACCATGATGGAATTAAAGTTTCTCTCCCTGCTGTTTGGACACATTGCATCACCTTCTATTCACTTTCTTCCATGTTGATCTTCAAATGAAACTAGAAGCTCCAAAACCAGTGAGTTCAACAATATCCTTTTTTCTTTTCCTTCCATTTGAAATAATGCAAAATCATCTGAACCTCATCTTAGTGGTTGTATACTCGTTGGTTAGTGGTTTGGCCTGTTTCGCACTCTCATCTTTTATTGCAATCCTAAGTAATTCTGTTCTTTTACTTGGCAGGTAGTAATTGGATATGCAGCACTTCCATTATCCACCCATGCACAGTATGCAACTGCCTTTATGTTTGTCATCTTTTGTTTTGTTTCTTTCCTTGATGATTTATTAACTTACATTATTTGTTCTGCTACCGGAGTGATTGGTAGAAACTGAGAAACCAGATATTGTAGCATTTTTCCAGTCTGTATTAGGTCCTAGCCTTCTTTGATGCCAACTAAATGCCATAACAGTATATTTTCTAGTAATTTAGACATGACTTTTTCTCATGCTTTTGTTATCTGCATCATTTCATTTTTTTCCTCGTTACATCATTCAATGATTTCAGCCTGTTGAACTACGTTCTGTACTCAGGTTGCGATCAGAAATTTCTCTACCGATTATGAGAAAACTGGTTCCACAGTATCTTCGAGAAAATGGAAAGGTATTTTTATTTTGACCTGTGTTAACCTCTGGTCACAAGAAAAAATTAATTTGTTTGAACCTTTCCACATTGTAAATTATAAAATGATATTCACACCCTATTATGTAACTAATTCTTTTTCGTTGTGTTTAAGATTCCAATTTTTCAATGGTTTATTATAAATAAAACTAGCCTAGCTTCATTATCACATAGATGGTTACATTTTACTGTGTTAGATGATTATTTATTAATCCATATCTTTTAATTGTAGGAGAGGCTGGATTATTTGGAAGATGGAAAAACTATTTTTAAATTGCGATTAAGGCTTTGCTCATCTTTTTACCCAATTAATGAGCGCATACGGGATTTTTTTTCTTGAATACGATACACACTCTTCGAACAAGTCCTCCATGGGGTTCTGAACTTTTGGAGGTATATTGGCTATGCTTCTTTCTTCAGTGTTTACAGTTGTCTTGGTTAAATCCATTATTAGTATTCATAATCTCTTTAGTTTTGGTGTTTTATAATTTTCAAGTCAACTGAAATTATTCTATGGTTGTGCTTGAATTGATTTAAACATTCCCCAAATCCAGTTTTCTTAATTGGTGATACAGCATGTCAATTTTATAAATGCAAGACACCATGTCATGAATTGGATTGTTTTCCATGTGGTTAGTATTTTTCAAACCATAATAGATCTCAGTGACTAGATCTTTAGGTAGATTATACAATAAAAGTAGTCTTAGGGTCTGACTTTAGTTAGGTTTTTGTCTCTCTCATTTATCTATCTTTGGTATTGAGTAGCAAGAGGGATTTTGGATTTGAATTGTTGGGACTTAGGTTGTTTATGTTTAAGAGGTGAAAGGAAATTGTATTGTAAACATCCAACCTCTAATCAATTGACAATAAATGGAGTAATTCGTTGGTTTCCTATAATTCGACACACCCTCATAGAGACAGACTAGGATCACAACGACCTCTCCTAACATCAACTAACCCCCTTGGATTGCTCATACAACTTGGCCCTGGGCTTTGATACCATGTAACTATCTAAATTAAACCAATTGTAATATGTGGAGTACCACATTGTATTTGAAGTCCATAGGTTTCCCTTTAATTCACCGATGTGGGATTTTTCCAGTTAACAGGTTTTAATTTAAAACAGTGGACTAAGCATAATCTCAATACTGCAGAGTGGAAATTGCTGTAAACACATACATGATGAGAATGTCTTGACTCTAAAAGTTAAATAAAAGTGTTACAGCAACACATAAACATATCTTAAGATATGGTTGTGCCCCATGGATGGCAGAAAGGCTTTTTGCTGAAATTACGTAAAAAATTCGATGTAGAAATTATGTGATTAGTAATTAATTCAATCTATTTTTCTTTTTCAATCTTAATCACTCGAATCCTAGTGGTTAATGCCAACTTAATTTTTTGGAATAATTGTTTTAAAAAAATTTCATTCACTGTTCGTATATCATGCAAAAAAAATTATTTAAAATTACAGACAAAGTCTATAAGACAGTTAAATTGAGAAAAATAGAAAAAAAAAATGAAGCACTCTCTCCTTGCAGGGATGGGTGAGCGTTTTCAAATATAAGTCCAGGATGAAATATATTTGTTATTTGATTTAAAAATTTTAAGTATAAATTTTAAGTTTGATACTTATCTAAATATTAAAAAACTTACACTTAATAACTAAATGAACAGATATTAAGTAATTTATGAGTGTATATTTATATACTTAACTTTAAAAAAGAAGAGGCAAAGTAGAGGTCTTATACAAGTTACAATTGTGGTGTGTTTTGATGTATTAAAATCACTTTAATAAGTGTACTAGTCGTTTTAAGTAATATAATAATAAGTAGAATATCGAACATACGAGAATTATGATTAACTAAGTATCAAAATAATTAATCTAAATTTATTTGAATAATCGAAAAAGAAGAAACTTTAATTAAAAATAATAAAAAGAAAATAACAATTAAAATAAAGCTAATTAAGATATGAGATACTAAGGCATTGATTTCATTATAATTAATCAATATAAATTCTGAATTAATATGCTTTCAAAATCAATTTATTGAGTGTTATCGCATGTGATGACGGATTCTTCTAAATTAACTAATTAACTTTTTCAAGTTAAGTTAATTCTTAATTTTTTTTGTTAAATTAATCATATCTATATATAATTTTAAATAAACTAATGAATATTAAACTTTATAGAAACCTCTAACTTAAGAAAGGGAGTTCCTAACTCTCTTTTCTTCCTCTAGTATCATATATGATGCTAATTATCTTTTAGTCTCATAGTTTAACACAGTTTATATTATTATTAATCTAATTTATGCAATTTTTTCTTAAATTCATGCATAAATCACTAAATCAATTAAAAAGTAATTAAGCTTTCAACGCATTAAGTTCAATAATGTAAACTCTTCATGCGAATAACTTTAATTAAAAGTATAAAATCACAAAATCTATATTGAATTTATTATGTTACATCATAACCCTAGTAGATTAAATTAATTCATAATAAAAATAATAAAATCTGAAATTATAGTCATAAATATTCAAATATCAAATAATAGATAAAAATAATTTAAAGAAAAATAAAACATAATTTCATAAATTTAAACTTCTTGATCTTCTATTGTTATAAATTCTTTATCTTAATCTCAAAAGAGGCCCAAAAAGAGGGCTGCCACCAGCCTCCCGAAGCTCTTCTTAATTCTGAATTTTGATGAGTATTTACAGGATTTTGAAAACTCTAATTGGAATAGAAGTGAGACTTGAAACAAAATAGGAAACTTGAATTTTGGTTGCCAGACGCATAGTGCTGATATTCGAATTACGTGTCAATACAAAGCAGGAAACAAAAAGCCTAATTCTAGGAGCTTAACGCATGGTGTCGATACCCCAATTATGTTTCGACACTACACCAGTGTCGCGTTTCTGGTCCCTTTTTGCAATTTCTTCAATGGTAAAATAGCAGATCTGGTCCTCCAACTTTTTACGATGAGTACTTAAATCCCTAAACTCAAGATTCATTCATTCAAGTCTAAAAGTGGCGCCCTTCTTCTTGCAATTCAGTCCCTCAACTTTCAAAAGATGTTTAATTAATCCCCCAAACTCCTATTTTTATGCATTTAGATATTTTTCTGCTCAAAGAATAAAAACCATGTAAAATCTCATCAAATTCATTCAAATATTAATAATATCAAGGCAGAAATTCCACATTAATATATATAAATTTAGGTCATCAATGTTTTATATTTAATTTAAAATTTGTTATTTATGTGAGTTACTATTAGTGTTTACATGACTTATTTTGCTTACAAGCCTTTCTTTAATTTTTTTTTTGTATTTAAAGTTTTCTTTTATTTTTAAAATTATTATTGTTATATAGATATTAAATATAATAAATATATAATTTAAATTATATAAATATAAGTAATATATC